GGGTGTTGCAGTGCTGCAAGTGATGGCCGTACCCTTCCCCACGTCTCTCCTTCCCCTTCTCTCCTCCCTCCCTCTGAAGCAGATGTTTTTCCCCCCTCTGTACGTGATGTATTTTCTTTCAATGTGTGCCTGTATCCAGTGCAAGCTCTGTTTCCAGGGAAGTTAGGCAGATGGAAATTGTTGAGTAAAATGGCCAGACCTGGTTCATTCCAGACCTCACATTCTTTTCATTGCGACATGAGTGCTTGGAAGAAAAGGAGACACAGGGGTCTGTTTTTTGTTTATTTGTGTGTGTGTGTTTTTTTGTTACTGGGAAATTCGACCCATTCACAGTCATTATGAGAACTAATATGCTTGGTCTAATTTCTACCATCTTATTATATATTTTCTGTTTATTTCTTCTTATTCCCTTATGTATTTCCTTTGAAGAAATTGATCAAGTCTAAAAAAAAAAATCCACCGGTAATTAAGTTATGTTGGTAGTTGCATTTATACTGATAGCAAACATAATTAAACTCAAATTTCTCTATCACTTCACCAAAGTTAAATAATGACTCTGTTTATCTTACTCTTTCAAAGTGAGACTTTTAGCATGCTTTTGTGCTTTTGCTTTTCCAACCCCTGTTGCTTTGATTCCTAGATTTTGTTGAAATAATTTGGTATTTTAGTTCTGAGCTATTTTCTTATACTTCCTGGATTTTAAAAAATCCTTTCTTAATAATGTATCATAATTCTTAGCTACATTACTAGCATTTTAAAAGAGATTTAATGATTTAATGAATATCTTGCACATAAGGGGGGGACTAGGTTTCCTGCCCACCATTATTTGTTTCCATTAGCTTGAGGTCTTTGTGTGTGTGCGTGTGTTTTTAATCCTCACTTGAGGAGTGAGGATATTTTTTCCATTGATTTTTAGAGAGTGGAAGGGAGGGGGGAGAAGGGGGAGAGAGAGAAACATCTGTGTGAGAGAGACACATCAATTGGTTGCCTCCTGCTTGCACTATGACTGGGGCCTGGGATTGAACCTGCGACCGAGGGATGTGCCCTTGACCTAGAGTCAAACCCGAGACTCTTCAGTTTTCGGGCTGATGCTGTAACCACTGAACAACCAGCCAGGGCAGTTTGAGATCTCTATTCTGATTTAATTTTTAGCTGGTGTACTTCCTCAAGTAGTTTTACCAGAAAGGGAATAGAGGTGGTGCCCTATCCACGTAGCTCAATTGGGAGCACTGTCCCAATATGCCAAGGTTGTGGGTTTGATCCCCAGTCAGGGAACCTTACAAGAATCAAGCAATGAATGCAGAAGTAAGTGGAACAACAAATCATTGTTTCTCATGAAATAAATAAATAAAATTTTAAAAATGAAAGAGAATAGCAGTGGTAATCTCCACACATCTATTTTTCTTTTAAACTTCAGAGTAATCTATTGGTCAGGTATAGGCATTTAGCTTGGAACACAGCCCCTTGTCTCAGAACTTGTAATGGTTATTCTTCTGTCTTCAGTGTCCAGAGTTGTAGATTTGAGAAGGCTGTCCTCTGCTCTGGCCTTTGTTGGAAACTTGTTCTGTTTGGAAGTTTATAAGATTTTCTCTTTACCCTTGGAGTTCAGAAATTTCACCAGGATCTGCCCGGGATATCTTTTGTGTTAATCTTGGCGCTACATGAGCCTTTCTAATCTGAAACCTCAAGCCTGTTTTCAACCAAAGGAACTTTTTATCTATTATTTTTATTTTTTTTGAACTTGTGGGTTTTTTCATTAGGAAATACCACATTTTAAAATGTTTTTATTGATTTGAGAGAGAGAAAAGGAGAGGGATAGATAGAAACATCAATGAGAACATCAGATCAGATGCCTTCTGCACGCCCCCTACTGGGGATTGAGCCTTGTGCCTTGACCAGGAATTGAATCCACTATCCCGGTATCACAGTGCTTGTGCTTAAGTAACCATTATTTTACTTAATAATACCCCAAAAATGTTTCCTTCAAGTGGAAAGGTATGTATGTAAAGGACAAAACATAGTATTATATAGGGCTCGATTCTATTAGTGGTTATAGGCATCCACTGCGGGTCTTGGAACGAATACCTTGCAGATAAGGAGAGGACTACTGTAGTGTTTAAATTCTCTTGTTTGCACCCTAGCTGGTTCGCTCAGTGGATAGAGCATTGGCCTGCGGACTGAAGTGTCCTTGGTTCGATTCTGATCAAGGACACATGGTTGGGTTGTGGCCTCGATCCCTGGTGGGGGGCATGCAGGAGTCAGCTGATCAATGGCTCTCTCTCATCTTTGATGTTTCTATCTCTCTTTTTCTCTCCCTTCCTCTCTGAAATCCATAAAAATATATTTTAAAAAAATTTTCTTGTTTTCTACGTTAACTCTGCTTCGGTGCAAACCACTTGGGATGGGAGTGCCCGTGGTGGTAATCTCAAGCTGCTCCTATATTTGTGCCCTGAACTTCCAGAATCACCCCCTCTAGGAATTCCTTTAGCTCTCTCGCAGGTGGTGAGAATTAAAGAAAGTCATTCTTCCCTAAGAGCTCAGCTGTGAATGGGATGGCAGGTGGGACTTCTCATTGACAGTGGAGAGGCCTCTTAAATTCCTGGGCTTTGTTAAGGTGGGATTGAGGCAGGTGAGCTCTCTCCTCCTTGTATTGGGGGGTGGAGGGCGGCGGCGGCTGCAGTTTAGCTGAATAGGGCAAGTCCCTTTGGAGGCAATGGCCTGAGCAGGGTGGGCAGGAAGGGGCAGTTAGTTCTCTCTTCATGTGCTGAGGCCATCTATCCTGGCTTAACCAGCTGGGACTCCTCAGATCACCTTCCCATGCTGCCAGCCCCCACCTCAGCCTGGTGCTGAAAGTGTTGAGCCCTAGCCTGCCGGGAACCAATGCCAGCATGTCATCATTTCAAGAGTTTCATCAAAAGGTTGATGAAACTTGGGGACTCAACAGGGTTGAGTCACACATGGAGTCACCTGTTGGGAATGGCTAAAGGCATTTCCCCAAACCTGAATAGGAAACTGATTGTGACTGCCAGACAGCTAAAGGGCATCTTAATCTACATGTTATTGCCTCCTACTGGCCAAACACCTGAACAGCCCTAGGCTATCCCCCAAACTGACAATGCTTCTGTACCCTTTGAAACCTCACCCTTTGAAGTGTATTATCTCCACCTTGCCTTAGGACAAATTGTGTTAGTAAAAGCAAGAGTCCTAGACCAGGAGGGAGTCTTCAGTTCCTTTAGCTGGAGGCCCTCTGACCCCCAGTGCCTTTCAAAATTATATCTCACCTCCGGACTCTTTATTAGTCTCTGGATTCCTATGTCATCTACGCACAGCGCCTTTTCCAGATTCCTGAACCCTTCTTGATGCTGGGACATGAACCCCGGCACTAGCCAGTTTCGCAAAGCAGTTAGAGCATTGGCAGGCAGACTGAAGGGTCCCAGGTTCAATTCCGGTCAAGGGCGTGTACCCCCATTGCAGGCTGGATCCCCAGCCCTGGTCGAGGCGTGGATGGGAGGCAATTAATCTATGTGTCTCTCTGTCTTTCCCTCTCTCTTCCACTCTCTCTAAAAATCAATGGAAAATTATCCTCAGGTGAGGATTAACTAAAAAAAAAATTTTGTTGAGTTTCCTCCTGCCAGAAGTTGGCGGGGAGAGAGGAGTTACAAGGAGATATTCAGCTCACTCTCTTCACAGGATTCCTTAACAATTGTTTCAATTTGCATTGAAACGATGCCCTGAGCGTTATATTCAGTAGTTTTTCTAACAGTGTTGATGCCATATCCCTGTCTGTCTTGTCCTAGGCCTACCAGTGGTTGGCAAACTGTGGCTCTTTGGCCCCTTGAGTGTGGCTCTTCCACCAAAATACCGACTTCTGCGCATGGGCCACGAAGTTTCAATTGCACTGTACATGCACGCCCGCATGTGGTATTTTGTGGAAGAGCCACACTCAAGGGGCCAAAGA